AAAAGTTTCCTGAAAAATCACGTATTTACAACTGCAAAATGACTTCCAGAAAACCTGCCAAGATCCTCAGAGGATCAACTTTTGCATTTTTGTCAAGCACTTCTGTAACTTCCTCCTTTGTAAATATATATTTTACAAAAAAATAAGCAGTTGTTCGCGCTAGAATTCAACCATGTCACCTGCTAACTTATTTTTGTTTTTTTCTCAAGATATGAGAATGGCAATCTTTCTCCAAATTGCATTCTATAAAAAAATTGAGATTTAGAATTCGCTGTATCATGCTTGAACCGATCGAAATGGGGTGATAATTTGCACTCATTGTTGACAAACTTGACTTTTGAAAGGTATCGGAGTAAAGCTCCATAATTAGATATTGTTCTTTTCTGTCAAAAAAAAAACAAACAAATAATTGAGTTCAGACTCAAAGTTTTGCCTTGTCGACTGAGCTGACTGTAACCAATAGTCTAGGAAAATTAGTTTTCTGCATATCCTTTGATAGAATTTACATCCTAGCCAAGAGCATCAGTATCGCCGCTTCACGAAGCAGCTTCTTGCAATTCGCTATGTAAATCTGAGTTCGAGGAAAATAGTATATGTTTCAATGTAGATCAATGTAGATTTCCAAGAAATTCCTTCAAAACTCATATATTTTGCTAACAAATTATAGATAGAACTTCAAATCGCTCTCATTGTTCATGAAAGAACTTATCAATATGAGTTGCTAAAATCTTGATGTTTCAAACAATCTCTCAACTTCATTACTCAATTTTCACTTTCGAAGCAACGTCGAGTGCTTTCTTGAAAACCGTCAGCTTCCATGAGTGAAATATGCGAGTTTTTGAACCCAAACTTCATGAGGTCTAGAAAAAGTCACTTGGCAGCCTGATCGTCCTTCTCAGTCGAATTCAGATATCCGCTCTGGAAAAAAGGCTGGGATGGTCTCACCCTTTCAACAAACACTTTTCTCTCAGCATCATCAAATCGCACTATAATTTCATCCCTTTTCAAACTTACAGTTCAAAAAAATTTTTATTTGACTAAATAATCCTCCTTTTCAAAGCAATTAAATTACCAATGCACAGTACTACGTATAACTTACTCATGCTGCATATCGCGCTAGTTTCTCAGTGCTGCTTACTACTTCGAGTTCTCCGTAATCATAGATTTTTTAGAATCATTATAGAGACTGTTAGACTTTTTGTATCTTCCGACTAGGCACTCAGGAAAGTGATAGCAATATATGCCACCATTTCAATGCATAGTTAGATTTACACGGCCTTTTGTCTGTTTGAGTGCACTTCCCATAAAAATCAGTTTATGACTTTGCATAACAAAAAGGTTAAAACACCAAAATCAATTGCTATCTCCAAAACCATAACGATTTTCAAGAGTGGACAATCCAAAAAAAATCATCTTCAAGTTCAGTAAAATTCGCCCTCAATAGACAATGCTTTCCTTCAAAAAAAAAAGGAAACTATCAAGGAAACAGAAGCTTAACAAAAGAGTTGCAAAAACATTGACTTTCTGCAACTTGAAATTTGAAGTGAACGTTCTTTATTGACTTTATCCAGTGCATGCGCGAATTCCTTTGAAAGTGATGTTCGAGGAGGAGTAAACAGTTAATAGATGGGTACAAGATGCTCGCCTAACCTTCCTAGTTTGACTTTTCCAGAGATCGCCCTGCGTAAGAAAAAAGCTGCTCTCAGATTAGAACAATGCTAAAAAAAAGTCAATTCGCACCACGTTTAAATATGTTTAGGAATTTGACTGAAATCGACCATAGGTTTGAAAAAAAAACCTTTTCCTAGTTGCTAATCTCAAACAAACAGCATAACCTTCGCTTGCATTTTTTTTGGTTGATCAACTCATCAAAGTGATGAATGCTTCTGAGTCGATTCCACTACTTTTCTCTAATTTTTGCGAAACATACAGTGCGAACGGAATCTGACTCTGACCTAGGGAGGCTAACGTTCGCGACAGGCTTTCAGATATGCGGAAGCGAATTAAAGAAATAGATGCGACTAGCCGGAGAAAACATAAAAAGCATTGAATTTTGTTTCGCTTCTAATTGGTATTCTCGAATAGCCGTTTCATGAAAATCTTGTTTTCTCTGCATGTCGTCATTGTTCCCATGTCAAGTGGTCACCATTGTATTATAACCGATTTTCTGTTCGAGTTGTCTACAGAGAGTCTGTTCAGAGCATGTGAGTAAGACAGAAACTATATGCCCCATTATACTGTGTTCACCTTTGTATTGCAATTGTTTTCTGCCATCAGATGTTCAGAGCGTCTGAAAAGACAGGATGTTTTGAGAGCCAGTAGCAAACTTCCCATTAACTTCATTTACGCAGCGGCTACTGGCACAGAGTAAGTTTGCCGCAAGCGTCTGCACTATAACAAGAAAGACTTCTCCGATAGGCGACTCGGAGAAGCCTTTCAGTCATTCAAAATTTTACCTCACGCCCTTGTGCGCAACGTTAGGGAAATGTTTCCTCTTGAGTTGCCCACATGATAGATTCCGAAAATTTCATGTTTTTGTTCCCTTCATTGTTTTTTCTGAATGCTGTAAATCGACGAATCTTCAAAACTCAAAATTTTGAACATTCTGTCACATTAGCGATTTTGATTTTCGATTAAAAATGTTGTATGCATTTTTTTCATGTATAATTATTTCTTCAATATTCACGCCAACCCCGTCACTACAGATCAAAACTTTCAAACATATCCCAATTCGTCTTTTAAGCTATACCGCTCCTACCATATCGTTATCCTTACCAATGCTCGTTCCCTCAGCTCGGATAGAGCCCACCCACCAACGCTGCATTGATATTCTTATTATCGCTCTGATCCACCTTTCGGAACAGTTGCGGAAGCCTTATTCTTGATAATTATCCAGTTTGCAAGCTTGTTTTGCTCTGCTTAATTCTCAGCTCGAGACAAGCTCTTCTTTTGACAGGGCGTGCGAAAGCCGCTTTCTCCTATGAGCCCTTTTCCCCCTGTCCACATGCATTCGAAGAGCAATCAAGCGACCGAGCAATGATACGATCAACAGCACTTTTCCTGCCCGCAGTTGGTGACAACAAATGGTAAATGGGCAACCTTGATGACGGTAATGGTAGCAGCAGCAATCTCCTGCTCTCAAACGAAACAGTGATGAAACAAATGGTACACACATGGGCAGCTTGATGACGACAATATCCCCACTCCTAAGCCATGGTCAAGGATGAAAGCTCGGGACGAGCTTTACTATGGAATGGACATGTCGAGACGCAGGCTAAGAGGTGGTCCGACAGTCCTCACCCCAACTGGGCGGTGCCCAGCAACTCCAGATGAGCTGTGCCTAACCGGGTGACCGGCGGTTACCCTTCCCCCTTCCTAATCTTATAAATATATAATAAAGATTCTAGTCATAAATGTTATCTTATATATAAAGCTGAATGTCTGTCTGTCTGTATGTATGTATGTCTGTCTGTACGTATGTGCGGAATAGAAATTTTTATTTCTGAACCGATCGGGACCAAACTTGGCACACATATACTTCGGGGCAGGGAGCGTGTCATAGGCTACTTTTCGTTATCGATCGATATCGATTTTATCGATTTTTATCGATTTTTTTGCTGAGTTCACCTACGGGGCCGGGAGTTGGCACAGGGGGGTAATCGAGCATGGGGATTCCGAATACAATATTGGTTTTCAGGATTATCGATTACTTTTATCGATTTTATCGATTTTTTTGCAAAGTTTGAGCTACGGGGCTGGGAGTTGGCACAGGGGGGTAATCGAGCATGGGGATTCCGAATACAATATTGGTTTTCAGGATTATCGATTACTTTTATCGATTTTATCGATTTTTTTGCAAAGTTTGAGCTACGGGGCTGGGAGTTCGCACAGGGGGGTAATCGAGCATGGGGATTCCGAATACAATATTGGTTTTCGGGATTATCGATTACTTTTATCGATTTTATCGATTTTTTGCAAAGTTTGAGCTAGGGGGCTGGGAGTTGGCACAGGGGGGGGGTAATCGAGCATGCTGATCACCCCCAAGAGGGGTGATCAGCATGCTCGATTACACCCCTGTGCCAAATTCCAGCCCCCTAGCTCAAATTTTCAAAAAATCGATAAAATCGATAAAAGTAATGGACGATCCTGAAAACTAATATTGTATTCGTAATCTGCATGCTCGATTACCCCCCTGTGCAAACTCCCAGCCCCGCAGGTCAAACTTTACAAAAAAATCGATAAAATCGATAAAAGTAATGGACGATCCTGAAAACTAATATTGTGTTCGTAATCAGCATGCTCGATTCCCCCTGTGCAAAATCCCAGCCTCGCATGTCAAAATTTACAAAAAATCGATAAAATCAATAAAAGTAATCGATAATTCTGAAAACTAATATTGTATTCGGAATCCCCATGCTCACTTCCCCCCCTGTGCCAACTCCTAGCCCTGTAGGTGAACTCTGCAAAAAAATCGATAAAAATCGGTAAAATCGACATCGATCGATAACGAAAAGTGGAGTATGACACGCTCCCTGCCCCGAAGTGTATGTGTGCAAAGTTTGGCCCCGTGCGAAGCCGGGTACGCCAGCTAGTGTTCATATAAAGTAAGACAATCAGGGTGAAGGATTCAAGTCAGGAGAGTGCACCTCCTGGACTTGACAAATCCAATAAAAAAATCAAAGAAACCGCAAAGAGACCTGATTTTCACTGAGATAATGGTATTTAGTTCTGATGAGCGCAATAAAACAAAAAGCGCGTCAAAGTTCGAATTTGAAGTACTTTAGGCCACAAACTTTTTAAACTCCCTGTATATGCGTTAGCGAGTGAGAGATCTGTAGAACTTTTTTAAACATAGATATAAAATTCTCAACTTCTTAATTTCCATGACAAATTGACAACGGCAAGTCCGACACACTGACTGATGAATGCTAGAAAAGTTTGACAGATTGCCAAGATGAGTTCGCCATAACAGTTATAGACTTCGAAAAAGAAAATCTCACCTTTGTGGCTCATGCATCTACTCATTTTCGTGACCTGTGCTCTTTGGGTATGCGATACGATGATACGAGGCACAATGCAAAAACACACGAACTCGGCATGCAACAGGGGGATGCGTTGCACTACAAGGTAAAAACCACGAAAACTCCGAGGAAGGGAGAAAAAAGAAAGGAAAGCTCACCTATCTCACTCATTCACTCTCGTTTTCCTCACTCAAGTTCACTACGCACATAAAGCGGAGACGGGATGCTCTAGAAGTGCAAATCCGCTTGAATACACGGTAGGCGACAATAGAAACGTCCAAAAGCCTATAACGACAAAGAGAAAAGTTGAAATCGACCATAAATAACACGCGTAAGTGGAGGATGCCGCCAAAAGATTTGAAACAGCCGCGTTGGCTAGCTTTCAGCTGCGGCTGTGCTTTTTGCGACGAATAGTTTACTGTACTTTTAGACATGTCCGACCTTTAGCACTTAATGGGGACGAGTGGCGTAGTGGTATGAGGCGCCGCTATGACCAGATCGGACCCAGGTTTAATACCGCCCCTGGGCCAACCAAGGCACCTCCCAGGGTTAGTGAATTAGCACCAGCTCAGACAGTCGAAGGGATATCTCCGACGGCCAAATGGCGCGGTCTGCCACTTCGCGCTCCGGAGCGCTCCTTAGCCCTCCCATCTCACCCATTTTGGTGCTCCGGGGCTCTCCCAAATCTGGCGCACCTCCGGAGCAGAGATTTGCGAGTCCCGAAGAGGGGTCACACTCGCCAGCTTGTGACGTCACCGTGTGTGACCGTGTGTAGCATACATTTGGGTAGCATACATACCGTTACCTGTTGTTTGTCACAAAAATTCAAAATAAAGGTCTGATTACCCAAGTTTGAGTACCAGCCCGCGTGACACCTAAACCAGCTCCATCTAGCAAAGCTTTGCTACACTTATCAACTTTTATCACCAAAATGATGCGTTTTGATCAGTGCAGATAGATTCGATTTTTTCTCCAAAAAACATGAGAAATTCCTAGGATAAAGAAGAAGGAGAAGCAAAGGAGTGTTAGCTGCATTATTGCAATTAAGGGTGAAGAAGCAACCGAAAATTGTTTTGTACAGAGTACGAAAAAAGGTGGCTAGCTCACTTTTGGGACAAAGTTAGTCATTTTTGATAATGAGCAGTCCACTTAGGTGGTCCTACGCTTAGGTACCTCAGAATTCGCTAAAACCTGGTCCAGAGAGATTATTGATTTTGCTGGTTACAAATATGTTATCGTTTCAAAAAACGGTCGTAACTCGGCCTTCAGAGGCGCTTGGCAGATTTGGAAGGCAGATTTGAAATCACCGTGCAATACTCTTTAAGCAGTATAGGTCTCATCTGAAAAGGCCACTTCGACTGAACACGCTTCCCTTGTTAGTTAACCATTTCCTGACTACCACTCCCTACTTTTAACTTCGATCCAGAAATTTCACTAAAAATTTCACTTGAAATTTTTCACATAAATTAAACGAAACTCCTCAGCTCTTAATGGTGAATTTTGAAGGCTGAGATTTTGGTAAAAATAGAATTCGAGTAGCGAGACAGAGTTGTTTATCTATCAGATAGGCGTATTACTAAAAAATGCGCATTTCAATACTGATTCCAAATCTGTCCTTCCATCCTTGAAAGTTCATTCCAACAAGAGTTATAAGGGTTTGTCTCTGATACTCAGATAAGCAGGCGGGGCAGGCGGCCATGCGATTTATGGCGGAAGGGCACCGGAAAAATAGTTCGCTGTTTTCGTAGGGTCCGCTTGCATTGGAAGAATTTTGGTAAAATATCAGAGAATGCTCGGAGAACAGTTGCGGTTTTTTCATAGATTTGTTGCGGCGCAGTGGCCGCATTCTCGCAGTTCCTCGAGAACATGCAGAATTATTGGGGCCGCACGGTCCTTCGTGAAGGTCCGCACAGCCCGTAGGTAACTTCCGCTGAGAGAAAGTACCTCAAACTCGGGTACTTACCATCAATAACACCTCTGTTATGCAGAGTGTTACCTTTGTGCGGCGACTCCCGAAACTGCGTAAAAAGAGTCCGAGTGCCTGCCATACATGTGGAAAGGGGATAATGTGTTCCTACCCCCTTCACCCCTGGGGCCGGAACCCAGCTGACCCCCTTCACCCACCGCCAATGAGGTACTGGAAGAAGTGAGACTAAGAAATCAACATTTAAAGCAAAACTATAAAACTATCGGCATTATAAAAATTAATTTTAGCGACATGTTGATTCTAAATATTATTATTACGATTGTCAAAACTTATTTGCAGGTTCACTGAGAAGCACGTCAGAAATTTGCCGCCTATTGTTCACTTCTAGAGAACGACGAAAAAGCCTTGGAAAAAATTTACGTGAAGTCTTCAGTATATATATGTCAATGAAGTTACTCACGTATTTGCTGAAATAATAAGCGAAATCATAAATGAACTTTGATGGTCATTGCGCAGTTGAATTGCATTCTTTTGAAGGCGAATGAATTTCCTAAGCAGATGGCAGAATCATGAAAAGTCATTGATTGTTTCCTTGAAGAGTCATTGTCCCAACTTTTAATATTATTTCTAAATTCAGACAAAG